TTGATAAAGACATTTGTTGAGAAAGGATGCTACTTTACAGGACGCTGTGAGGGTCCCAGAGCCTGGGCTAACGTCTACATTGCAGTTTTATAGCCCCACTGCCTGGGCCCTGCAAGCCCAAGTCAGCTGACACGGGCCAGTGATGGGTGTATGATTCCAAATGTAGACATACCCATAGATTCTTCATCCAAGTTACAGAAAAACCCACTGACAAGTTCAAATTTGTATCTGTAGGTCACTGCTGCTGCTCCTGTAATAATCAAGAGGAGGTATAATCCCTTCTGTCTTGTCCTTCTGGTGCTCAATTTTGAAAAGCTTCTGGCTTTGGTTAAGCACATTGCTAACGATTTTTTGTTGGAGCTTTCAAGAGTCCTCTGAGTATAACTGAGATTTTTAATTTTCTGAAGCAGGAAGGAGCAAATCAGTTTGTCTGCTGCTTCCTGACTCCCAGAAGAAGCAAGACTCCTGGGTTACCTTAGAGTTTATCAGATGTAAGCCAACTGAGTGACCTTTTGGTTCCTGAGAGTAGGGAGGGAAGTATCTTGCTTTTCATGAAGGACTTGTGCTCCTTTTGTAAGGAAAGAATTATATGGAATAGTCTTCCAAATAGTCCAAATATTTTCGCAAAAAAAAAAAAAAAAAACCCAACAAAAAACTCCAAGTTGGGTTCTGTGCATAAGACAGTGACTTATTGTGGTAATTAAATGGATCATGTGAGAGTTTTAGCTATAATTTGGCATGGACCACAGCAGCCATTTAGCCTTAAATATACCATTTAAGGCCAGGAATTTCAGAAAGAGAAGCTTAACTTTAGGGTTCAAAGTGCAGACTTAGGCACCTAAGGGTATATGTATACTGCAAAAAAAAAAAAAAAAAGATGAAGTCATATACCTGTAGCGGCGAGTGTCAGAACCTAGGTCAGGTGACTCAGGCTCACACCATGGGACTAAATATAGCAGTGTAGACATTCCCGCTCAGGCTGGAGCCCACACTTTGAAAAGTGGAGAGGGGGGAAGGTCTCAGAGACGGGTCCAGCGCAAGTGGGAACATCATTTGACTCAGGCTCTGAGACTCACTGCCAGGCAGGAAGGATTACCGTGTAGACGTACCCTAAATAAGTAGCTTTATTGATTGATTAATTGATTGTAAGTACCTAACCACTGCTCTTGAAGTTGGTTGGCTCTGCTGGGTGCGCAGTACCTTTGAACGCTGAGGCTGCTTATTTAGGTGCCTAAGGCTACCTGTAGTAACCTAACTTTAGGTTCCCATTTTTTAAAACTTTGATCTAAATTTTTCTTGTGCTTTCTCTCATGTATTACTTTTTGCTGACACACATTTAGTTCCCTAGCCTCCCTTTTTTAACATCCCTTTCCCCACAAATGGTTTGTTAGAGACCTCTTCTTGCTACCTAGAGGGATTGTGCATAAATGACCTAATTAATTGGTTTAGGAGACTGCTCTATATGGTTGGAGGGTGTGAGATTAAAAGGGATTTCTATAGCAGACTTTAAAAGCAGCCAGTTTGTTTATTCAAAAGAGTGGCACTATTGGGGGAGATAATAGTTTACCATTTTATTGGAAAATTTTCTTTATCACCATACTTCATAGTTCCTTTTTGTGTGTATGTGAATTTGGTGTTAATGGTTCCAACTGTCAGGCATTGTCCTTTCAGGTCCTGGGCCTGTTTACTCCATATCAGAGCCTCTTCACCAATCTCTAGCTACAAAACCACTGCTGTTCCAGAACTAGCTCTCTCATGCTTAGAAATTGCCTGTCACATGTACCATTGTGGTTTGATGCCCTCCAGGATGATACCATCAGCCCTCTTTTTTTTTTGTAGTTGAATCCAGTGGGTAGTCTCTGGCTTGGTGGCCTATCTACAGTATCTCACCCACTATAACACCAGTATCTGAACTCTGACCATTTGAATATTGAGTATCAACCATCTGTAAACCATCTTATTAGTTGCTTCTTGGTGTCTGTTAGTTTGAAGCTCTGAGGGCCTATTGTAATTATGTAAAGTGTGGGCCATTAATGATGGTTTGGAATCTTGATGACTCCCATTGTCTGCAGATGGCTGTTTACCTGTGAGTCTCCCTGTATATGTGTGTGCTGGCAAGTGAGTAATGAAGTCTTGCAGTGACATGTGATCACGTCACCTGAACTGGAATCCATCTTTAACCTGGTGCTTTTCCAGTGAGGGGGGGTGGAAACCCAGAGAGACAAAGGATTCCCGCCTTATGCAAAAGATATATAAAGGGGTGGAAGAGAACAGAGAGAGAGAGGAGCCATCATGGAGAAGCCCCTAGCTAACACCTAAGCTGGAACAAAAGCTGTACCAGGGGAAAGAATTGTGCCCAGGCCTGGAAGGTGTCCAGTCTGAGAAAAACTTACTGAAGCATCTCTGAGGGTGAGATTATCTGTATTTAGTTTGATTAGGCATAGATTTGCGCATTTTATTTTATTTTGCTTGTGACTTACTTTGTTCTGTCTGTTACTACTTTGAACCACTTAAATCCTACTGTCTGTATTTAATAAAATCACTTTTTATTTAGTAATTTACTCAGTGTATGTATTAATACCTGGGGGAGCAAACAGCTGTGCATATCTCTCTATCAGTGTTATAGAGGGCGAACAATTTATGAGTTTGCCCTGCATAAGCTTTATGCAGGGTAAAACGGATTTATCTGGGTTTAGACCCCATTGGGAGTTGGGCATCTGAGTGCTAATGACAAGCACACTCCTGTGAGCTGTTTTTGGGTAAACTCGCAGCTTTGGGACAAGTAATTCAGACCCTGGGTCTGTGTTGAAGTGGACTGGAGTGTCTAATTCAGCAAGACGGGGTGCTGGAGTCCTGAGCTGGCAGGGAAAACAGAAGCAGGGGTAGTCTTGGCACATCGGGTGGCAGCTCCCAAGGGGGTTTCTGTGATCCAACCCGTCACAACAGGAACTCACATTTCTAGGTCCCTGTAGAAATGTAGTGTACATAGATCAGATTTCATAAGAGGATGTTTCAAAATAAATAACATTGTGGGTTGAGATTACTATTAATTTTTCTCATCCAGCTGTCTGAATACGTCATTAGAACATGCTCAGGACCATTACCTTGCTTCTTTGGCTGGTGGCAGCCTGGGTAGATGTAGAGAGAAGATCAAACTGAAGATCTGCTGAATAGATAGATAAATATGGTACTTGGATATTCCACTTACTTATATGTGAATTTAAAAACTATATGTAGATACAGTTCCCAGGTTGGATGGAAAAATTGATTGTTAAGGGAATATTTAAATTCCATTATTGAAACCACCAGCAGGGCAGTTAATGTTGCTTAAGAGGGGAAATGAAATCTGGCAGTCTTCTGCTTCTTGGGTACTTAAACAGCAAAAGCTACCAAGGGCTATTCTTTTCAAAAAGAGGCTATGATTTTCTTCTATTGTGCATCTGTGTACCATTGTAGGAAATGTAAACTTAAACACTCAGCAATCAATGCTTTGACTTGGGGATTGGGAACGGAGTCAAAAACCTCATTCCAGCTGACCATTGAGAAGAGGGTGTGTGCATTTGGGCTTATACTGTAGAACTTTTTTGCCCATGTGTACAAACAGAAAGATGGAAAGATTCCTGTTCCAGGAACAACATTCCAAATCTGTATCATTTCCATCCCTTTGTAATGGTTCTCTCATATGCTCATTTCCAGAAACCCTTCTGCTCCTCTGTGTTTGGTCCAGAAGACTTAAAATTTCTAACTGAGTTCTGTAGCCCACAAAGTTCTTCCTCTAAAACTCTAGCTAGGCCTTTGAAGTGAAAAACCCAGTAAAATTTCTAAAAGGTTCAAAGGTCAGTCTTAGACTTAAATTTCCTAATCAGTTATCAATTTTTTCCATGCTAGACATCCACTTTCTTAGCAAATAAGTTTAGCCAAATATGTGTGGCCATGTAGTCTGTCTGTTTTGCCTTACAAAGATTGGTTTAAGATTTGAGCATCAATTTGCTGTGGAGTTTGCTGCTCTTAAGGTATGTCTGCACAGTCGATGTTATAACGTGGCTGTGTAGTCACGTTAGGCTGTGTAGAGCTCTCCCAGCACTGTAATAAAATCACCTCCGCGAGGCACTGCCACTTTACAGCGCTGAAAATTGGAACAGGCGGGGGGGGGGGGGTCACACCCCTGAGTGAAGAAAGTTTCAGCCTTGTAAGTGGCAGTGTAGACAAGGCCTTAGACAACATATTATATGGGTAGCCACCCAAAAGAAATAACAGGAAGAGGGATTTTTCTTAAAGCCTTGTGAGTGGGGAGGCCTGTGTTAGAATCCTGGAAGTATTTTGTAATCTTTTGTGGTGTCCTGGAAATCCTAGAATTAAGGAAGAAAAGAATTCTAGCTTCCCTTTCACTCAGTTTATCTTTAACACTGTCCATTTTGCTAAAATGTAATCTCATTTGTGAATGAGGAAGTGTTGGAAGTGCTAAGGCAAAGCCAGAGATGGTAAAGCGGATCCAAGGTTGGCCTTACTAGCACTTCAGCAACTGGAAGAGCCAACTTTCTGTTTGCTATTTAAACAAAATACTGAATTTTAAAAAAATTACTTATTTTGAGTCTCGATGCAGCTAGAAGTTGTGCTTTGAATCAGGATTGAAGGGGGAAACAAGAAGTAAATGAATGTTAGAAAAGCTTGAAATACCTCCTTGGTTGAATGATCTAGAAGGATATTATGATTCCTCCAGAAATCCCAGTACACAGGATGCTAAAAAACTTCTTTCTGCAGGTTAAGGATTTAATGAGAAGAAATGGAAAAACAAAACCAACAAATGTTAAACAAACACCGCGTGTGTGCGCGCGCACGCACGCACACACACAGAGTGAGGAATAGGAGGAAACCACTTGCTTCTTTTAAAGTGTTTGGGGAATAGTGTAGTTAGCAGAATGTTATGTTATGATTGATGTTCCTTATGGATAAGATTTGACTTCCCTCCCTCTCCTTTTCTGACTTTGGTATTTTTTTAGAAAGTTAGAAATATGGCCCTGGAAGATGTGGTGATTCTTAATGTTGATACCAACACACTGGAAACTCCTTTTGATGATCTACAGAGCCTTCCCAATGATGTGGTACGTATAAATTGTTTGGATATTTTAAGCTACTGCATTACTAGAAATAGCAATCCTTTTTATCTGTTTAGTTTCTAACATGTGTCTGATGATGGTGCCAAAGCCCCCATGTGTTCTGTTAAGTGAACTGCTTACCCTGTCTTTATCTTTTTTGCCTGACAGAATTTAGCAATCTTTGAGGGATATGGAACAAAATAGAACATCAGGAGGCTGAAATGTAGGTTGCTTTTTGCGCAACCCCTGAGTGACAGAGGCAAAGTTGACATTTGTGCTGGGAATGCTGCAACTTTGATTAAAATACCCAGTTAATATGTCAGATTCCAAGTCCTCTAAAAATTACAAAGTCTTGCAGGAAGAAAATATCTAATGTGAAACAAAACAAAAAAAACCCAAATTCAAGCAGATTTTTGGGGTGGAGCAGAGTGCTGTGGAAAGAGGGAATTTCAAGCCATACTTATGTGGTAAAAGAGCAATAAAGGACTGACATTTATTTTTGGAGATACCTTAATGAATCTTTTCCCCTGGTTTCCTCCAACTGGATCTCTGAATTTCAATCAGTGTCCTATTTTTTTTTTTTAAACATAATTTTGAAATCAGGTCGCTCGCTTCATAATCAATTACTAAGGGCTTGTCTCCACTTACCGTGGATTGACACTGCGACGATCAATCTACCAGGGGTCAATTTAGCAGGTCTAGTGAAGACCCGCTAAATCGACCGCTGATTGCTCTCTCGTCGACTCCAGTACTCCACTGGATTGAGAAGCATAAGGTAAGTTGACAGGAGAGTTCCTCCCGTCGACCCAGCTTGGTGCAATAAGTCGACCTAAGGTACGTCGACTCCAGCTACATTATTCACGTAGCTGGAGTTGCGTAACTTAGGTCGACTTAGCCCCATAGTGTAGACCTGCTATAAGACTGTTTTGTGATAATAATTCTGAACTATTATTCCTCTATAGAGGCCTCCTTTCTCTGTATTGGTGGTGTACTTTAGTTCCATTTAAAATGTTTAAACTAATTTTAATGGTGTAGCATAAATGTTTGCTTCTTTAACTGTACTGAGACAAAGATGTGCCCAATTTACGTTGCACTATATTGATGCCACCTGATAGTAGAGTATCTTTATTAATGAAGCTAAAAGAGGAGATGAGTGGCAAAGTGTGTAGAGCAAGTGCACTAGAAGCCATGTCTAGTCCAGCTGGTGTCTTTTTGGGAGAAGACAGAAAAATCTGAGATTCTCTTACTAGTCACGCTCAAAATATTCATTTGGCTATTAGGATCCATAATTTGTAAAGTGTGCTTCCTTTCACTTACTTAATGACTTAAATAAAATCCTGTCTTAGTGTGCAGTTGAATATGAAATTGATGTGCAGAGTAGTTCAGAATGTAATCTGGTTCTTTTGTGATTCGGAAGAAGTAAACTCAAGTAAGGATTTCTCTGTAGCCTTTCAATATTGGGGCTTGTCTACATTACCCGCTGGATCGATGGGCAGCAATAGATCCAGGGGGGGTTGATTTATTGTGTCTAGTGTAGACAGGATAAATAGACTGCCGAACGCTCTCCCGTTGACTCCGGTACTCCACCAGGGCGAGAGGCACAGGTGGAGTCGACGGGAGAGCATCAGCCGTTGACTTACCGCAGTGAAGACACCACGGTGAGTAGATCAAAGTACATCGACTCTGGCTACGTTATTCACGTAACTTAGATCGATTTCTCTCCTCTCCCCCCAGTGTAGACCAGGCCTTATATATAACAAGTGAACACTCGGCCATGCTTCGCCTTGTCATTCACCTGTTTGAAGCATAATTGTTATTGCGTGGTGACCAAAATGCAGGCTAGTGTTGCAGCTCATAGAAAAGTGGCAGTGTAACATTTTCAAGATATTTTCCCATAAGACCTGCTTGGAGCATTTTGAAAAACTTCTTTAAAAATTTCAGACTGAAAAAGGTGTACCTTATATTTCACTCAAAGGATAGTCCTGTGTCCAGTGATGTCCATTTAATAGAGTACCAGACATTCACATGGAGGGCGCTTGCCTTCATTGCAGAGATGATTGGCATCACAGTGATACTGAAATACCTTGCTCTGTCCCAGTTTGTTGTGGAAAGGTGGATTCTCTTTGCTGATAACGTTGTTTTCTGCTGCAATTTTCAGTAGGATGATCATAGACTATGACTAATTTTTCAATAAAGGGAAGCCCTATTTCATTTTTGTAGTAGTCATTGGATGCATTTTCCTGGTTAATGATGATTCTTGACTGTGAATCATTTAGCAGCAGGAACTAGAAGAGCAAACACCTACCTCCATGTACCCTCGCTCCCAGCATTAGCCTATCACTTACTCAGTTAATCCTCACCAGTCCAGATCCTCAGATCAAAATAAAAACATATAACTGTAGCTTGGCTGCTGTGGTGAAGATCTGCTATCCAGATTGGATAGATAACTACCTACATGACACATATGTAATTTGTCCACAACATTGAAACGACATGACTTCTGGCTATGGGGCTTTGGGGCCTATAAAGAAGCAGTGTTTTGAGTTCTGACACACAGGGAGGTGAGCATCATAGCTGTTTGCCTAGATAATTAATATTCATGTAATTTTGATGTACAGAGTATCCATCTTTTTGATATTCTGCACTAACATGGCACAGCTGTTCCAATTGCAGTGCAATAAACAGAGATAGGAGGAATCTGGAGAACATCAACCGGTATGCAAGCCTCCCAACACCATGCATCCACCCTTACTCATCACCAGCATATTTCAAGCATTGCTGGTAAGAATAACTCGACATGGGAGAGTCATTTATATTCACCCTGCATTGTTCAGTGCTAGGCCTGCCTGCTGTCTGCCAACTAGTTCCATGAGAGGTGTCGGCTTTTGTGTTGTGGGTAAGACCCCAGAATCCATTTCACACAGAACTCCAAACAGCCAAGAGTCAGAAATGGCTTTGGTCACTGCCTGGCTGTATTCATGAAGCAAAATTTCAGGAGGAGAAAAGTTCAGAATGTTGCTAGTCTGAGTCACTTTAAAGTCACTAAATGAAAGGAAGTGGAAGCATAACTAAAAACATCTGTTCTCACCCCTAGGGGTTCCAAGGCAGTAGCCTTGCAAATTGGGGATTGTTATCAGCAAGAGTGGCATATTTCAAACTTCTAGAATTGCCACATTCAAAATGATGCCCCCTACCCCTGAAGTGTTTCCATTCCTCTGCTGGGATAAGTCAAATGCATTGTTATAGCTTAATGCAAGTTACTTTGGATGATCATGTTTGCTGTAAGAACAATAATTTCCAGTTAGCATAGCCTGGTGAGAGACTATCCATGTCCATTGGAAAGTGACTATTCCCTCAGGGCAGAAGCCAATCCAAGTAAGTTTCCCATTCATTGCACTGGGTAACTCATGCATGCTCACTGCTTGCCGCTGTGATATCTCTTCACTCCTCAGTAGTCTGCGATGTGACTCCTCCTTTCATCGCTGTATATAGCCAGGTAGGCAGGAAGCAGTGAGTTATGTATGATTCTGTGCTCCCTGGCTTTTGTCAGCATTTCAATCTATTCAAGTTATTTCAATGCCTTTTTTTGGTATTAAATAGCTCTTCATTTTGACTTTACTCTTTGCATCCGAATCTGCCAGCTGGTCATCACTCATGCAAATATGCACAACTGTGGAAATGTCAAACTTGTAAATTTCATAGAATTATGTAAGAAATGTCTGGATACAGCGAATCCTGAGCCTTGTATGTATATATGATTTGTCAACAATCAAGTATTATTAAATTTTATGGGACTTCATTAAAAGAGCTATTGCAGGAGCACTGTAGAACATCAGAAAAGACTTCACCAATAAACTGAAAACTTCAAGCTTTGGAATGTAATAAATTTTAAGAGACTTCCTTCCTTTCATTATTTACTTTTACTTCACGTTTATAACAGTAAAGAGTTGTGTTTTATTAGTTCAAAATTCTTGATTCAGTTTTCTGCAGGTCTGTTTAAAAGCTACATTTTCTCTTAGAGGATGTTTGGAGCATTGCAGAGGAAGTGCTGCTAGCAAATTCAATTAACTGGCATGACACACAAATAATGTACATGGTATATTTTTTTTCACAACTGCTATATAAACACAGCTGGGTTGAATATGTTTGGTAACAAAGACTTAACTTGAATCATTTTGCTTTGTGTAGTTAATGTTTGGAATCAGTATTTCTGTCTTATTCCTCATTTGTATTCCTCCTTGTTTCATTATTTTAGTTATCTAGATAATTAATTGTTCTCCTCTAGGTCTTTTCCTTTCCTTTAAACTGTTTAATATTAGGATCTGACCACTAGAGAGCAGCTGTTTTTCTTTGCAAGAAGTGAATTTATGTCTGTTCTTTCATGCATCGTGTGTTTGGAACTGTAAGTGGATCAAGTTGTTCATCACAGCAGGGAGACTGTGAAGCTGATCTATTATACACACTTTCTTTGGGGGAGGGGGGGAAGATGGGGGAGATTCTGGCGAGTCTGTCTCTCCACTGGGCTCACTCCACATGGATGCATTTGTGATCTGTTGGGGGCTATGCCAGGCTATGTTAGCTGAGGGACTAAAAATATCGCTAACAGTTCCACATTAAGGAATAGCTGTTAAGGCAAACCATGCTTTCAGTATTGCAAGGTAATGTGAGCACTGAGCACTTCATTAACTCTTGAATATGTGCAAAATTTACTCTGGTGAATTAAATCCATTTGCATTCTGCAGAGATGAGTAACATTTACTTTGGTGTGTTCACTGGCACGCTATTCATGCAACAGGAAATGTTAATAGTCTGCTTGTTTTTCTGAACAGCTCTTTTTGCTGCATTGAAAAAAGAATCCCTTAAGTCCTGTGATTTTGCTGGAGACTTTTTCTGAGAGTCATACTTGGGTCTCACAATAATGACATTGCTGCCCAAACTGTGGTCTTTCCATAGTTCAGAGTGAGTTATTTGTTACCATTTCAGTCCTGGTATCTGAGTGAAAATGG